CAGAGAGAGAGAGAGTCAGAGAGAGAGACAGGGAGACAGACAGACAGACAGACAGACAGACAGACAGACAGAGACACAGTAAAAGAGAGTGAGAGAGGGAAAGAAATCAGAAAGAGGATTACTATAGGAGTTGTGCTCTGCATAATATGTTCTTTGAATTATTGTACACTGCACTGAGCTATTCTTTGGGAAGAGAAACATTTATACAATATAAAAATATACTACTAATAATAAAAAAACATGCAAAATTTCAGTATAGACTTTAATACAAATACAAACATTTTCCAAGGCAAATTTATTTACTTATCATAGTACATATAATTGTAATTAATATAATATTATTATAATGAGAAATTGTAGGTGAGATACACGAAAATGCTGTTCATCTGCAGATTTGGAACTTTTCTATTTGTCAGCAGAGTAAAAATATTTAAATTCCCCCTCAACGAAGAGGAAACAAAAGGAAATCCACAGAGAGCCTCAGATATTACAATAAGTACTGCAGTCAGTCAGTCAGTCATATCCAGACTCGTTGCCATGATGGGTGGGAAACTGGCTTATTATTTGACAAGGGGTCCATTGTGTCCTACGCTGACAAAATGCCTTTTTCTTATTAAAGAGCAGTTTTGAGTGTTTTTCTCTTTCTCAAATTTCAGGGTTTTTCTTTTTTAGCGTTTTACACCGCGCATCTGCATAAGGTCATATGAGTGCGCTGGACACATTAAACATTTTCAGTTGGTAGGAAATTTTGAAGCCTACTCTTATCGATTTTGGACCACCAAGGGATCTTTAACGTGCGCAACTTGCACACGAGACCTCCGAGAAGGCTAGGTGTAGATCTTTCCTACCATAAGATCAGGGGTGTGGCTGAAAGACAGCAGTAAGAAGGAGCCAAGGATTAGCAGTAGAAAGGCTGCAGGCGTTTTTCTTAGAGTATAGTATCTCGTGTAATGTGCACATTGCATCAGTGGTTGATCTTGCTCCCTGAAGAGATTTTCGAAACTGCTGGGAATAAGAAAAAGGCGTTTTGTCATAGATGAAAGGAAACTGGCTTATTATTTGACAACAGGTCTATTCTGTCAGTTTGTACAATTTTGCAGGAGAGTCCAAAAAGGTACTATATAAATTTATACTCTTTCGAAGAGCCAAAAACATGAATGAGAATGTTATTACAGTAGGCTACCAACAATATAAAATATTTGCTTAAAAAATAATAATAAGGAAGCTGTTTACTTGAGAAGTTTGCAAAGAAATTGGGTTTTTTTCCTTCTAAGTTTTCAGTTTTTTTGGCCCTTCTGTAAAATTGTACAAACTGCACAAATACCGTATTAAAAAAAAGACAACAGTATTGTCATAGATCAAATGGAAGGAAACTGGCTCATTATTTGACAACTTGTGTGAGAATCCGGATAACTGAGAAATAAATAACAGAAATAATGAGGTTACGTCAAAAATTGTGGAAGAGAGATCAACAAAATGATGTGGAAAAGGGATTTCAGTAAAGTTGGTCATAACAGTAAAAGAAGAACCACACTAGTTGGGGGGAAAAACTAAAGTATTGAACGGCCTGGTCTAAATTCTAGGACACTAAAAAAAAAAAAATCTATTCTAAAAAGAATTCATCACAGCGTGGAAGATAACTTCTCAAAACACACATCAGAAACCTTACTGCAGCTCTGATGTAAGCTGACAAAACGCCTTTTTCCATTTTGGCGCCAAAATCGAACCAGCCTGATCATTTACCCTACTTGAAGTACTTGTGTCGAAAAATCAAAATGAAACTGCGGCTAGTTTTTGATTTAATTCAAATTTCGGAATCACTCTATTTTTCAATCGTTACGTCGACAAAAAAACCCAACAAAACCCTCTTCTCCTCAAAACTGCAGTGAAGAAAAAAAAAGGGTTTTGTGAGCTTAGGGCAGAGCTACTCAGGTAACCTTTTCTGAGTCTATTATCATTATCATTATCATTATTATTATCATTATTACTCGTGGTTTGAACAAGTCTTGGGTCTGGTAGGAGTTTGACCACCCATCACAAACTTTAAAAGAAGAAAAAGCCATTAAAAAAACACTCAGTAGGCCTCAATATAGTAAAACTAAAAACGATAAAATTGAGAGTAAAAATAATCCGCAGAAAAAGTAAATCAATCAATAAAATCTGGTGCTGACAGTCTGCTCAATATAATGATTCGACATGAACAACATCAGAATAAGAGGAGAATCGGCTGTCAAAACAAAAAGTTATTGTGTCATTATGATTTCCATCATTTAGGTGTTGTAGAGGCATGATTTGAACTCAAGTCTTCTGCATGTACGTGACAGTCAAGTGAAGTGACAAACTGCTACACCACAGAAGGCAGTATTTAACCAAAAAAAAACAGAGAGAAAAAAGTATTATACATGATGATCCACTAGATTAAAAAACATCTAGACAAAGCAATAGCTACTGTACAAGGCAAAGCAATAGAGAAGGCAATGTACAACTGACGGGAAGCGAGTCGTGTAGAATCAATGTATATGATGTATATATATCATGTAGAAGTTGTTGTTTTTTTTCACATGAGAAAAGACTAGCAGTGCTCTGTCAACACCAGTGTCAATATCAAGTAGAAGGAAATATAATAAGATTAGCAAACAGGAAGGAAAGCAAAATCCCACAGCTCGGCTGGAAGCCTCAAAGCATAATTAGATACATTTTTTCAATCGCTTTTAAGGACAAGCGGGCTAACCCAGATTTTTGGGGTTTCCAGAAATCTTGACCTACACCAAAAGTGGGCATTGCCCTGCCTATAGGAGAAGTTTGGTTTCATTGGTGTGTATATTTGTTTGGTTATGGAGAAAACTCCTTGTCTTTTAAAGAAACTGAACAAGGGGCAAAAACTTTACCTCGGTTTTCTCAAAGCAGCATTTTTCGGGACAGCCCGCTTGTGCTTAAAAGCGACCATTTCTCATCAAGTAATTGATCAAGTACACATTGCTTCATTAAAATGAGGTAGGCCTAGTCCTTTCAACGAGTATTCTCATGTGGCCTATCTCAACTATCTGACGTTCTGTACACTTCGCTACATGTACCCTAGAATTACAAAGTTCTGTCTATCTGCCCAGTTCCTAGTTTTGAGAAATTTGGTTATTACAATTTTTTGAGTATCTTGACAATGACTATGTATGATACTAGACTACCATTTTGAAAGAGCAGATCAGAACTTTGCAGCTACCGTCTTTGGTTTGTTTCAAGCGAATCTGAAATTTGAACTAAGCAATTTCACACTGGCTGTGATTATAAAGTTTTCTAATTTAATGAAATGCCACCCCCCATTAACACATTTTCGATGTATCATATTATAAGCTCTAATGAATGGTGACAATGTGGAAGCAATTAGCGCCATGGAAATAATTCTTCAACATTCCCTTTTTAGAAAGCAAAATGAACATTTTTCATGCTGCTTGCGTCATCTTTCTCATCACCGGAACCCCACAACAGAGGAGGAGGAGGAGGAGGAGGAGGGATTGCTCCCAACATTAACTCTTTATCTCAGAGGGGAGGCACTATGCCAGGGCCCTGTCTTGATACAAAATTTAAAAGTGACACATAGGCCCTACATCACTAATTCGTTTATTATAGTTCTTTATCTATAAATGTTTCGGCAATTTCCGAAGAGTACATGTCTGTAATTTGATGTCGAAGATGTAAAGAAATGTGCCCAAGTCGCTGGCAGCGACTCATCGGCACAGAGGTTCCGACCATGAGCCGCTGAGAGTGGCTTGCCGGAGATAAGGAGTTCAAACAGAATAAGTTCAGTTAGCATTTCCCACAAAAGTGCAACCAAGCATGGTCTGGCAACGGCTACAACAATGTATTGGAGAAACGTGGGAATCGGAAGATTTACCCTCTGAAGAAAACAAAGAAGCACAACAAAAGTTGACAAGGAAGGGCCTACATGTATCAGAATGTCAAAGTTACAGCATTTACCTACCATCATGTAATATCAGATCATCACCTTCATTTTACTTTATGTAAATGAGCCAGCAAAAATAAACGAGATCTGCCCAGAAAACACAAAAAAAATCAGTTGAGAATTATGGCGCAAGCACACAACCTTCAAGGCACTAGGTTCACCCACAAAAGTCTAGGCAATTGTTGAGAACAAACAAAGAAATAAAATACACACCAAAAGCACAACAACAAATCATTCAATAGAAATAGAATGAGTAAATCTCTGTCATGAAGCTGTGTTGTAAGGAAATGTAAGTCAAGACACTGTGTGTAAACTTGTGAAAATGACGACAAAATCCCTCTCTTCACGTTTGCCGAAAGCGAAACTGAAATAGGATCCAGTCAGTTTGTGGGAGCCCTTAGTTGATTCTTTCGATGTAAGATGTTGCAGAAAAAAATAATTTTAGTTGACCAGCACTAGTCTAGCTACTGGCCTGTTTAGTTTAGTGTTCTGACGTGAGAAAAAATCTTCCCTTATGTTTACAAAGCGGTAGGTATACATTTATTGGATTTATTCAATTGTTGAAGTTAGGTACCAGTCTGCTTTTTCTTTCCTCATCCTTACTATTGTCATTTTCCCTCTACTTCTTTTGTATGATTGTCACTCTCTTATGAACGGCTCTTTCCGGGGTGCCTTGATAGTCGAAGCAAACTTTGTGCCATTGAGGCTAAAGAGGAGAGCAGAGTAAGCCTGATTCCCCGTTCTTCTCAGTTCTCAGTTGACATCCATCCCTTGGCGCTCATATGAACTTATGCAGTTGCGAGCGCCGTGAAACCTTACTAAAACAAAACTTAAGCCTATCGGTTTCTTTACGTCAGAGCAAAAAGCGTGCCGATCTACCGTACAAACTTCTGTGCAAAGTCTCAACTGATCTGTCTCACTACTTATCTGTACATGGCACTACAAACACACACATTTAGTTTGCAGTAACAAAATATGAAAGAAAGTTTGCACAGCTTATACTTGTAGGGAGTTATTAAGATGCAAAAAAAAAACAATTTACAAAAACTCCCCCTCAAGCAATGCAAACAAATGAAAAAAAAATCCTTCTCAAACTTAAAGTCAAGCATTGCTGCATAAAGTCAGTTTTAAAGTTCATCCACTGCAGTCCGTAAGAACAGACAACTTTTTGAAAAACATAAATGCTTGACGTCCTTAGAGTCACAGTAACAGTAACAGGACTATGGTCTTGTAGAAAAAGTACATTACACTTCATATTTCACCCCCTCTTACTTAGTGGCCTATATTTTTTTAAAAACTTCATCCATTGCAGTCTGTAAAAACATATGTTAAAAAAAACATAAATGCTTATCTTTTTAAAATACATAGAGTAGAGGCCTATATTCTTTTTAAAAACTTTATAAAAATCGACTTATACAGTAAATTCAAACCAAACACAATTGACAATAACAACACAAGAATAACTTATAATCTCATGACACTTTTTTCTTCCACTTATTGCTCGGGTGAAATGTTATATGTATTATAACATCTCAGTATCAGTGATTGAACCCACTGTTCAATTTAACTGCCAGGAAAAACAAAACAAAAATGGCAAAAACCTCAGTTTGTTCGCTAGTGCTGATTAAAAAAATGTGACAAATTATTTCTTCATCTCATCACAGAGAACTGGGAGAAGTGAAAAAAACAACCTGACGACAATGTAGAAACTCATCGACTCCCACCCACCGCTGACTTTCCCGCACAATCAATAAACTACTAGGGTCAGTGACAATGTAGCGGTGCGTTCTGATTGGCTCAGGTCATGACACTTGAAACTGACACGCATAATATAAAAATAGTATCTTGTGTAAGCTAAAAATAAATAAAAAACAAAAATGAGCCAGTAATCAGTACTAATAAAGACATAACAAACAATAATGAGCCAAACTATAATAACACTCCTACAACTTAGAGTCAAGCACGCACATAACGAAACCAGCAGTATGTTACGTACAAATCTTTTTGTTATAAAGTTTGAAATTTTCACTTTGTATGAGTTTTTAAAACTTCACGGGATATACCGCACACGTAAGAAGAAATTTGGGACCTGAAAATCTACGTGCTATCAGTGTGTCAACAATCTACGTGTTAACAATCTACGCGCTGTCAGCGTGTTATCCTATGTGTGTGCTAGACTGTATGTGGCTCCTTCAAATACTTTTCAAAATGACAAAGCTCTGTCCATATAATACTATATGAAGACAAGGAACACTCGTACAGTCTTACTCTTACTAGTTTTATCTCCTATGTCTTCTCGCTTTTGTTTTGTTTTAAGCCAAGAGCACAATAACTGAGGAGTGGGAAAGTCTGTTGACAATATAATATATGCATGGCTTGAGGACTCTTTCTGTCCCGGTGTCATTTACTCAATCAGAGTCAGAGGGTGGTTAAAAAAAGCAGTATAATTTCTTCCACAGGGCTTGGAATAACATGAAATGAACCCCGAACAGTAGGAAAAAAACTACTCGAGTAATGAACTGTCAACAAATTCTGACTGAGCTCATTTCGTCCGTAAGTTTGAATCTTTTCTCATGGTTAATGTCGTCGATCATAATTTCATGAGACCAAAAAAAAAAGAAGATTTCCGAAAAATTACCAAAAAAATGAAGGATGACTTCATATTTTTAAATTATTCAGGAATGGGTATAAATTCAAAAAATATCTTGAGCTTGCAAATGAGAAGAGGAACGCTGTATCTTTGAGTTTGAGCTTAAAAGTTACAACAAAACAGGAAGCATAGTGTTTGAATGTTCATCTCAAAAGAAGAGAACAAATTCTTGAAATTCAGACCAAAAAAATGGACAATGTCCCAAATCGAACTAAGCTGTGCATTCAGACTTATTACCTCCCCAAAATTTAATTAAAAATTAAAAAACGCCATTAAGTAGTTCCTCAGAGCAGAAGATGAACAGAGCCATTTTGAACAAAAAGCCGAAACTTAACGCAATGTGACAAAAAAAACCCCAGCAACAGTCTCACATGCTGCACTATCGTCACATCGTCCACTGTAGGCTACTCCTTCCTACTCCTATACATGACATAAATATTTCTTTAAAAACTTATAAAACCGTACAAGTCAATACAAGACATGAGCAAGCAATACACTGTACATAGCATTAGCAACATGATGTTTGTCTTAGTCATCAAAGCTTTGAGCTTTATGAGCCTGCTTATGATCATCCCAAACATCTCTTAATCTTAACTTAATCAACAGACACAAATCCCTTCCAAGAATTCTCATTTGGACATGAAATGACAATCTATACGGAATTTCTTCTCTCTCCTCCTATTCCCTAAAAACATAACAATTTTTTAAAATAAACAAAACAACAGTGAAATCTTCCGTCCATTAGAGGAGTTAGAAAGAGGTCAAATCATGCGTCTGGTGGTACTTCTTCACTCCCTTCCCTTCCCATCTCCCCCCCCCAAAAAAAACCCCAACTGAAACAGGGTATATTAAAAGTCACACAATCTTGTGCGTGCGTCCACTAGACAGAGGTCAAGTCTCGCGTCTGCGTGATGACCACCACCAGCTGACCCGGCTTGTTGGTGTTGCTCTCGTTCTTGCGGCCCACGAGCCCGACCTCCACGGCCTTGCCCTTGCACTCGTCGGTGGCGATGAACACGTGCTTGCCCATGTAGTCGTCGCGCAGCACGTTGCTGTTCCAGATCTGAGGACACCACAAGGAAAACGTTTTTTTCAAATTTTGCCTCATCTCGGTTAAAAGCTCAGCTATATATAACAATATTAACTCACTGACTACATATCCCGTCACGGGTACGGGGCGGACGGTCAGTTCGCAGGTACAGATCCCGTACCCCCGACGGGATGGACTTTGCGGTTTTGTTCCGTATCTTGTGCTCCCGTCACATGAACGGGAACGGACTCCAGTGCTAGTTTTGCCTCTTGTTTCGTTTCGTGCTGAGTTTAGCGGGAGTTTCATGATAACTTTTTAAGAAATTGAAGGTGAAGGACAGTCACCTCATCTGGGGTTGACCTGACCGGAACTCGCGCTGTGTTTTTTCTATACAAATGATAGTAATACGACAGTCGCGTCGAAGTAAGGGTCGCATGAACAAGAATCACATAATTTCGCTGTTTTCGATACTTCTGTACGTCTTGCTAGAGTTCTAGTGACTCAGGATATGATGTGTCTGATAGTTAGGACCCTGGATAGGTACCCGAACACGGCCAGAGTCGTAGTTTTAGGGCAAGATCTAGCACTAGTACTGTTGTTGTTCGCGCGACGATATCACAACTTCGTTCCCTACATCTGTCTCATGTAATCCAGTGTATGGGTCTGAATAAACGCACAGACCAGCTTTTATATTTTCACCAAACATTCACACATGGATACAAACCAAAACAGAACACTTTGAACTTTTATTTTTGTTGTTGTTGTGAATTTCATTCTATCAGTCATGTCTTTTTCGAAAAATCAAATTCATTCCAATTTTGAAACAATCATAAGAATTAAAGTATTAGACCTAGAGAACTTAATTTTTTTGCAATAGATTAAGTCTGAAAGTTACTTTACTGTGTCAAAAAATAATTACAATATGGTAATTCTGAGAGTTGTGGTGGTGTTTTGAAATACCCCCAAAAATGCCAGTACTCAGCGCTAGTGATTTGTGAAAGGGGCCAGTAGTCAGTGAGTTAATAAATCTTATTATTTTATTCTTTAATAAACAAGTTGTAATTTTTTCAAATAAAGATCAAAGGTGAAAATTTTATATAAAATGCATCCTACGTTGTAACATCAGATCCCGAAGCAAAACACCACAAAAAACAAACAACACATAACACCACAAAGAACACATTACATTACAAAAAACAAACACACAAAGGACACATTACACCACAAAAAACAAACACACAAACAATACATAACACCACAAACAACACATAACACCACAAAAAACAAACACACAAAGGACACATTACACCACAAAAAACAAACACACAAACAATACATAACACCACAAACAACACATAACACCACAAAAAACAAACACACAAAAGACACATTACACCACAAA